GGGGCCGGGTAAATGGGACGTCTCGTTCGCGATCGCATCGCAGATCTCATCGGGGCTTCGGGGAGGGGGACGGGCGCAAATACGAGAGGTCGTTCGTGGGAATCGGTCGTCTGTCCACGGAATGGATGCGATGCAATATCTTTCTGTGTATCCAACAGATGAGAGAGGATGGAGGAAGTGGATCCAGACGCGGCCGGGGTCGTGGAGGTCGTGGGGGAGACGCCGGGGAACCAGACCGGCTACGGGGCGTACTTCAACGTCACGGCGCAGCTCTGCATGGACTTCGCCTTGCCGCTCTACGGGTACATGATGCCGATCCTGCTCGTCGTCACCGTCATATCCAACACACTCATCATCTTGGTGCTCAGTAAGAGGCACATGCGCACGCCGACCAACATCGTGCTCATGACCATGGCACTCGCCGATCTCTTCACCATGATCTTCCCGGCTCCTTGGCTCTTCTACCTGTACACGCTGGGCAACTACGTGCGTCCCATCAGTCCGACGTCTGCTTGCTATGCTTATGCGATCATGATGGAGATCTTGCCGAATCTATTCCACACGGCGAGCATCTGGCTCACGTTGGCGTTGGCCCTTCAGAGGTACATCTACGTGTGCCACCCGACGACGGCGCGCACCTGGTGCACCATTCCCAGGGTGCTCTGGGCCATTTTCTCCATTTTTCTCCTCTCCGTGCTCCATCAGGGCACGAACGCGCTTTCTCGCAATTTCGTCTCTGCACCTCATCGAGAAGGATGCCTCGTCACGGAGGCGTACTGGGTGGAATTCCTCACCCCCGAAGTATATTACAGTGTCTACTATTGGTTTCGCGTGGCGTTCGTGCACACTCTCCCCTGTCTGTTTCTGGTCATCCTCAACGTCCTTCTCTTCTCGGCGCTGAAGAAGGCGGAGCGGAAACGGAAGAACCTGTTGAAGGACAACCGCAAGAACGAGAGCCGGAAGATGAGGGACTCCCAGAGCACGACGTGCATGCTCATCGTCGTCGTGAGCGTGTTCCTCGTCGTGGAGATCCCCTTGGCCGTCCTCACCTTCCTGCACATCCTGCAGAGCGTCTACACCTCCGTCCTCATCGTGGAGTACGAGGTGGCCAACTGTCTCATTCTCTTCTCCAACTTCTTCATCGCCGTCTCCTACCCCATCAACTTCGCCATCTACTGCGGGATGTCGAGGCAGTTCCGGGAGACCTTCTCGGACCTTTTCATGAGGCGGGACGCCTCGGAGATCGTGGACACCACGACCACCATGGTGAACGGGACCCGAACGAACCTCGAGAGTAACGAAACCGTTCTTTAAAAATCTCTGTCTCAAAAGTAACTTTTTTTTTAGTAACCGAGGTTTGTAATTTTTCTCCCTTCGTTTCATCAAAAAAGGCACTCCAATTTATATTTCGTT